AAGGTCAATCATATCCCATGAGGACAAATGCAGTGTGAGTAATCTCATTCTTTCCTTTTATTGTGTGTACCTTGATTTCCTTTATTTAGCAAATCCAGTTCTTTTCTTTTTTAAAAAAAAATTAAATTTTTTAATTTTTGTGGGCACATAAGAATATATATATGGGGTACATGAGATGTTTTGATATAGGCATGTGGTGTGAAATAATCATACTGTGGAGAATGGAGTATCTATCTTCTCAAGCATGTATCTTTTGTCTTACAAATAATCCAGCTACATCAGTTATAGTGATGTGACAGTCATGTATTTTGAAATACAGCATTTCCCATTATTATATCTGTGTGTGTATTTGGTATACTTGATTTAAGCATTGAGATTAAGCAGGAGAAGGAGTGAGCAAGGGTGTTGATAATCAGGCTTCATCCATGATATTTTGGCAAGCCCAAAGAGAGACCTGCCATTGGCTTCCTTGTTCTACCAGACAAAGTATTTAATATTCTCTTGCCAAATTCAGCCTTTGTAGTCCTACTTTTCAGTAAATTATGGCAAGTTCCTTTACGCTTTAGAAGGGAGCAGGTGGAAGAGGTAAAATAACTATAATTCAGTGTTTCTCTCTTTACTTTCACATTTGTATATTTTGGGCTACAGTCCTAAAGTGTCTTTGCTGCTTCCTTTTATCGCACCTTTATCTGTCTTACCAAAGTCTTATAAGCCCCGTCATGTGCTTCTGCTAGCTGTGCTGCTTCTAGTGAGCTCAGAGATACTAGGATTGTACAAATACCTATCTTAGAACTAGAAAAGCAGCCTCTAGTGGTCCATAGACATTAGTCACATGGCATTTTATAGCTCCCCTCTGGAGTTCCTTGAATCAGAAATGCAGCCTTTATTGATCACTGTGGTTTGCCTAATGTTCTACTCATGGCTGTACATATAAAGAAAAATAGTCTTAGCTTAGTGAGTTCAGCATCTAGTGGACATGGTGGCAAGAGGTCAACATGTGAAGGGAGGAGGAAGCACAGGAGCACCCAGGAGGGCCACAGACTGGGGACACCCATGGGACATGACTGCAGCACCAGATGAGGATGCTGGATGAAGGTTTTTCTAGGGAAGATGGTGTCTGAGCCAAATCCTGAATAGGAAGGTGTTGCCATTTGAATCTGGGGTGATGGGGTATGTGGTGGTATGTGTTCCAGGTAACAGGCAGCATGAACAAAAGCTGAAAGGCTTGGTCTTTTTAGGAACAAGCAAATCCCAGAACTTGCCTTCTCTGTAGTTGATCATTAGGGCTTTGCCAAAGAAATTGCCTGAGAGAAAAAATATGTGCACGCGTGTTGTGTGTCTGTGTGTGTCTGTGTGCGTGTGTGTGTGTGTATTGCAGCCATATTTAACAAGCACTTAACAGAAAAGATGAGCGTGAAATGAGGTTTTATGTAAAGCACAGTCTTAAAGATTTCAGGAGAACGTGTTGACATGAAATGCAAGAAATCATTCTGTTGTGATAAAGAACTTATTTGGATTTGGGATTAAGTTCATTGCAATAACATGAAACTTATTGTTATGATAGCAAAGGGATTTATTACTGTTTAACTAGAATTGTTTAATACTGCAGAACTTAGGCCCAGGATTTTATTCAGACAGCTAAAGAATTAAAGAGATCACCATGAAGCAAGCAATAGAAAGTACTAGAGTGTTTAGTCACTTGAAAATGGTGAATTACCCTAGGTATTGCTCGAGGCCAGTAAGTGCTCAAGGAGAAAGAGAAAGATTAGGGAAGTTGATGCAGAGAAGAAGGTAGATGTTCACCAAAGGTTGTGATGAAGTTAATAAGTAAGGACATATTGAAATCAGGAGCCTCAGGACTAGTCAAGTTTTTGTTTGTTTGTTTGTTTGAGACCAGTTCTCTCTGTTGCCCAAGCTGGAGTGCAGTGGCATGCACATAGCTTACTACAACCTCCGGAGCTCAAGCAATCCTCCCAGCTTGGCCTCCTGAATGGCTGGGACTATAGGCACACACAGACACAACTGGCTAACTTTCAAAATTTTTGTAGAAATAGGGTCTTGCCTGGGGTGTTCTGGAACTGCTGGCCTCAAGTGATCCTCCCACCTCAGCCTCCCAAAGTGCTGGGATTACAGGTGTGACCCACCCCACAATGCACAAAGCATTTTTAATGCTATACTTTGTATCTATTTCTCTTCCTTTTCTGACCACCCTTCATGGGGAAGGAAAGAAACACGATATATAAGCATGAATGAGATCCGAGTAACCCTGGATATTTGCACATAGATTCAACTCGCCCTAGTTTATTGCAGTTTCAGAACATTTCATTTGATTCCTACAATGATCAGGTAAGGAGGATAAGGCAAAGGATAAGAGAGAACTATGGCACAAAGAATTTAAGGGACCAAAAAATTGTTAAATGGCAGAACTAAGACTACAAACCTGGTCTTTGGACTCCTAGTAGAGTACTCTTTGCTGCCACACCATACTGCATTCCTTTATTAGGATTTATTTTTAAATGCTTAAAACTCAGCACTTGTTCCTCCTTTGTGTGTCACTAATATATGCAGCTGCCATAGCACACTGTAGGGCTCAGCCCAGCATATTTAGAATAGAGTGCTAACGTAGGAGCTAGTCATATTTTGGTTTCATAGCTAACCTTTTATTGAATATTGAAATTGTGACATTTTAAAATCTTTCTGCATCTCATTTTCTTTTTCCTTCTTGATCTGTGTTATGTCTTGGCACTATAAATGTGAATGGAATCATCTAGCTCCATTGTTCTAACAGGAATACATTTGGTGCCAGTTTCTTAGGAGAGCCATATGGTTTGCCCCCAAATTTGTGTTGTGTTTTTGCTAGTTTTGTGTGTCTCAGGAATTGTATTTAGGCCATTTTCTACATAATCCTATGTCAGACTTCATATAGGAACTTAATTTCCTCACAGGTTATAGAAATATTAATTATGGATTATATAAAAACAGTACCAGCTAACATTCATTAAGCACTAAGTACTGGACCCTTGCATTTCATGTAGACCTTACCCCAATTTTTCAAGGTAGGGTGGATGGAGAAACATGGGCATGTGGCTCTTACAGAGACAATGTGGGGCATGGCCAGGTTTTACACACAGGTCTTTTGGCTCTAGCCCACATACTTAACCACTATGCTATAGGGTGTATGCAGAGAATGGTCTAGAAAAAGGTCTCCATTGGTAGGACATAGCCAATTCTGTCAGTTGAAATCCTTGATTTCTCCTAAAATGAAGTTGGTTGTTCATTAAAATCCAAGTGGCTGCTTTCATGCCAGATGTGGATCTTGCTCAAATAATGAGAACTAAGTAAGAGCTCCTTGGAGAAAATGTTCTTCAGAGGCTGGCAGATAGTTCACTTTGTTTGAAGTCAGACCCAGAATTCGTTGTGACATGCCTTGATATATATTAAATGTAAGGAGACCTGACAACTGTAGAAGTTCAAGTATTCGTCATTAATTTCAGCTGTTTAATTTAGCTTCTGTGTCATCTGCAGAATTTGAAATCTTAAAAGAAAAATAATTAGAAGTGAAGTGAAAATTAGACTTTATTTCTGCAACTATAAATTTTCTTATACAATAAGATCTGGAAACATATGAATTGTTTTAAAAGGTGTTATGTCAACTTACTTCATATGTATTTAGCACCAGTTTTGTCTGAACTAAGGTAATAGTTTTTAAACAAAATCTATCCAAGATTCCCAATAGACCTCCTTTTCTCTTCACATTCATTCTTACATGCATTTATTCAAAAACTGCTGAATGTCTTTTATTCCTTCCACTGGCTTAAGTACATTAAAGCCTTTTAATTACTAGTGCATTGCTGAGTTGGCAGGCTATCACAAGGAATGAAATCTTAATGGAGCCCACCTATCTGAAATTCATAGCCTCTGCCCGTATACTTAGCCTAACACCAGTTTTGGGAGAGATATAAACTAGATAGTAGGTGCACATTTAAGTAGGTAAAACATTGAGATGGCTAAGGATGACAGTGGTGTCACATGTGGTACATTAGATCCAAAAGAAAGCAATAAAAACATTTTGTCATTTTTGGAGAAGATCTAGAATGTGGTAGAGTAGCGGTCAGCCCCAAGAGAGACAGTAATTTAGGCTCCTGGTACTTGACTCTTAAAAAGTAGCTTAATCATGAACAGAAGAAAATGATCTGAAGATCAGATCCTCAGAGCCAATGTTCAACTCTGTTCCTCAGACATGCCTCAGAGGCCAATTCTACATTGCAGGTGGGAGGAAGGGCTGGAGGAGGGAGTCAATGAATGAAAACATTTTTTCCACTTTTAGTTTTTCTTAAGTCTTCCTCTGCCACAATAGGAAATTAGTAGATACGGTCTAAAATTGATTAATCAAGAAATAACATGGTAAACATAATATTTTAAAAGTGGATATAAGAAGAAAATGTTAGAAACAGAAGAAAATGGTAACAAACAAACAAAAAACACTAGAATGGATTCCAGTTAAGAGCAACTCTAAGAGTGGGGAAAGGATGCAAGGCACTGCTGTTTTCCTTGTACATATTACTTTTTTAACAGATAAAATATTTTTTAAAAAGAGGACTTATGCATTTATGTTCTGTATGTGCTTTGCATCCTGGGCAGATGTCTGCTCACATTTTTTAAGGAGGCCATTTATTGGAAGGGAAGAATAAGCAGGATATTAGTGAAATTTCACATCAAATGATACAAGGGCTGAGGATTGAGAAGTCAAATTTCTGGCAGGGTGTTTCCCAATTAAATCATTTCTGCCTTTGGCCATTCATCTGGCATTACCTAAATTATTTCAGGGACAGAAGCTGCCTCCAAATAAAAAGTAAAAAACGTAACTGTGCAAAAATTCTAAAAGAGTCTGTACTTAGGAGACAATTTCTCTGATAGTTTCTGTTTATCCTATAGTTATGTCCATTATAAATAAAAATTGCTCCCTAACTACTCTTTTTGATGTTTTCTTTTTAAAACAGGGAAATGCGCATAAAATCATGGAGAAATGTACATTACCATTGACTGGAAAGCAATGTGTCAACCGCATTATTACTGAAAAGGTAAAATGTGTTTTTTCTCTTATTTGCTATCTATTAACCACGTTTTAAGTAAGCATTTACAGAAATTGTTGTTACCTTCTAAGAGTGTATTACACCAGTAGTCACAGGATTAATTTAGCCCGTAGGCAAAATGAATAGGAAAGCTCATCAATTTAATGTTTCTACATGTAGAATTCTTTATGTGCAAGTCTTTGGAAACATAGAAGCAAAATTGAATCACTGTCCTTGGTAACTTTGACAGTGTGCTATAATCAGAGAAGTTTTATTGATCTTTATATTTTGACTATTACAATGTCAGGCTGGATGATGATATATGCAAAGTTAAGAATATATTATTTCTACCTTTTCTAAATCACAAGTACAAATTTTTGGATTTTAAGAAATTCAGTGTAAGTTGAGTTTTTAATTGTTTCAGTGCAAATCATAGTATAGGCCCCACCGTAAGCCAAGAAATGGATTCTGTTTCTTGCATGCTTTCTGCTGTCTTTTATAGAGTGGGGTTTCAAAACACACAGTGACTCTCTAGATTCTTCTTACTAGCTGGAACGTGTTGGTCAGTAGTACAACTGAAAGCTGCTCAGAGCAGAGAAGCGTCACCAGCAGCTGCCTATAGTCACCCTTCTGACTCAGATTTGAACCTAGTATGTCGGAATGACAATGCTTTTAAGTTAGCTGGGAGGGTGTGTTTTCTTGATTCAGTACCTTGAAGAAGCCATAAAACAGAATTATGTATATCAGGTTCTTTTAGTGCTGTTCCATTTGCCAAGAACAGTAGCATTAGTGTCTTGGCATTAATCTGACTCACTAACTTCATTGAAGTGTGACAGTGAGCACCCTAAAGCAGGCTTTGAAATGGGCTAGGAGGCTTATTATTCCCAGAAGCTAATTTTAAGGGAGGTTCTGTCCTAAATGATGCCTTCTGCAGGACTACTTATGTGGAATGCCATAAAGGTAACATATAAAGAACAAGATAAAAGGGCAGAATATTTTATCCCACCATCTATTCTGAATCTTTACCATTTCTTGAATCCCCCCGAAACTATGAACAGGACTTGTGGAAAAGAATCCATTACTTTGAAGATAAAAGCAAAGCAATCTTTTACCCTGTTGGTTGTTTGTTTATTTTTAAATAAAGTGGTAGTCCTTCTAAAGATAATTCCAGAAACTTTCTTCCTGTGGGTCCTCTCCTCCTTCCATCAGCCCTCTCCTCACCTCCACGTGTACCCTGCCCTTGTTCTTACCAGTTCAGTTCTTCTATCTGCCATAGCTTCCACTTGATCCTCGGCCTCCCCAAATACTACCTGTCCTTTAAACCTAATGCAGTTTCCCTCTTCATCATGAAACGGTTTTGCACCATCATAGCACACAACAATTTATTCTCATAGTGGCCCACTGTTCATTTTGGCACTCATAATCTAATGTATTCTTATGCTATAACTTATATTGATATTTAACTTTACTATCATTTTAAAAACTTTTCAACCAGATTGTTCCCAACAGTGTGTTACAGAAAGGAGGAAGGCAAAGTCTCTGTCCTAAAGGACAACATGGAAGAAGGGTTAGACACCAAACATCCAGCCTTGCCAGCAGTCAGAGTAATTGACATGATAAAGGCCATATGGAGACACACACCAGATGCTAATCTAGGGGCATAGAGAAAAGCTGCCCCGCAGCGTGGGCAGAGGTATCAGGGAAAGCTTTTTGGTGTTATTAAATACAAGCTTTTAACATATTTGCAAAGCATTTCACAGTATGTACCTTTCTCCTCTAGCCTATTTCTTTCTACTTTAACTTTCTCCCTACTTGAACCATACTAAAATGCTGTGAACTACGTTCCGTTCTTCCTTGGACCATGTTCTTTTGAGACTTTGCACATCCTTTTTCTCTCTCTGGAACATTCTTCCCACCCCATCCATCTAGCTAATTTCTGCTCATCCTTTATATCTTGGCTATATATTTCTCTTGCTAGTCTTCCCAATCCCTCCGCAAATTTTCTGGGTGCTTCTCTGAATCTTTGAACTAATCCTAACTTAGCATAAACCACTATACTGAAATAAACTCTAATCTCTGCCTGTCTCACTCACCACTGTTTAACACTTGGCACAGCGCCAACCCATACTCAGTGAATACTTGTGCTTTTTTTTGCTGAAAAAACTGGATTGAATGGTGAGCCTCAAAAGATCAGTAGGAATTTCATAAGATAGAAAACCAACAAGGACCTTCTGGAAAAAAGGAAGAAAACATACAGTCACAGAGGTGTGAAGAAAACATGGCTTGTCCTATAACCTGCAAGTTGAACTGGTTGGAGCAAGGGCATGACTGGATTCTGAAGGCTGATGTGGAAAAGGCAGTGAGGGGTCAAATAATGGAGGGATGTCGATGTCTTGCTAAGAACTGTGGGTCTTATAAGGAGCTAGGCAATAAGGAACCCTTCAGTGATTTTTCACTTTTTTAAGGTTGCGGACACAATAAATTGGATTTGCATTAGGAAAAACACTGTAAGCTTTTATGTAAAGTGGACAGAAAACAGATAAGGCAGAAGCCAGTTAAGAGGATCCATAGACCTAGGCAAAAAATCTCAAAATTCTAAACCATAGGACAGATGGAGAGATTTGAAAGAGATTTAGGAGATGGACTCGACCTAACTTGATGAATTGCACATTCTTGGTAAGACAGAGGAGATTCCTAAGTTTTCTGACTAGAGAGAATGGTTGACCTGTGCATCCTTTAGGAAGACCAGGACTATAAGAGGAGAAGCAAGAGGATAATACAAGACATGAATAGGTTCAGTTTGGACAGCCTCACTGTGATATTCCTGGGAATACCCAGTCAGATACTGCAATAAACAATTGGGAGATTTGGATCTAGAGCTCACAAGAGAAGTCAGTATTGGAATAAATTTGTGGGCGTCATTAACATATGGGGATAATTAGAGCCTTAATTATAGATGACATTGTATAGCTAGAATGAGTAAAGAGAAGGGCATCTACGTCTGGAACATTTGGTACCTCAAGGAAAGGAAGGTTGCATGTTTATCGCTGTGCTCTGTGCATAGTAGGTGCTCAATAAATACTTGTTGAATGAGTAATGAGAATGCAGTGCCAATAAGGGCAATGAAGGTCTCCAGCCCTCACTAACAATGGACTAGAATGCCATAATCAGATCTAGAGAAAATTCCTTTCAGTTGCCTTTTGAAAGAGAATTTGGAGGATGCTATGACCCTGATTTCCTAGTTTTGAGCTGTGAGAATGAAGTAATGAAAGATGCATTCCTCACCAGCACCTGAGCTGTGATTCACTGTTACCCATAATGTAAGCTTTTGTCATGGTGATAAAGTAATTAACATTTATCTCTTAGACAGAGTACTTGCAATATTCTGGATAGTTGAACAATTTTTTGTGGCTTTTAGGTTTTAGTCTCCATTTTTGTCAAATTTTTGTTTGCACCTTATATCACTAAATGGAAAGTTTCCTAAATATTTCAAAAGTAAGTTTCCTTTTTTAAATTATCGATACTTGGCTTTCTAATATATCTAATTAGGATTTGATGAATGTGTTAATAAGGTTTTTTTTTAAAGCAATAAGTCAATTTGTGATAGATTTATTCTCCTTGATTACTGAAGCCTTAAATTTTGATACCACAGTTATCTTCTCTCTAAGTCATTCCCGTGCCTGTTCTTAATAACATAATCCAGATGCTCTTTTTTTCTTGTTTGTTCTATTTTTATAAATTGACAGTTGTTCAGAATGCAAGAAAAAGCAAATCTTATCAATAGTGCTCCAGACACATTTTCTGCAAAGAAAGTGTTCATTTTTTTAAAATTTTATTGTCATTTTGGAATGAAGCAAGCTAATGAGTATACAAACATTCCTAAATTATCCATTTATTTTTTTCCTCTTGAAACATACATTTCTGCCAGAAAACTTTTTTGGAACATAAAATGTACAAGCAAAAGAAAAGTTTACTGAGAAATAAGAAATATTTTGTCTCATATTTCAAACCTCTTTTCCAGTAATGTCAACCAGGTTATCTGTGAATTCATCAGACAAACCAAGAATGCAGTTATCACTGGTCCCAGCAATGTGTGTTTCTGGGGAAAAATATTAATCAACTAGAGTCAATAATCACTTCAGGGCTTTGATCTGGCGTCACATATAAGTGAGATGTTAAGCGACTAAGGAGTAAAAAGTAAAAAACTGCTTGTGTGCTGCCCCCACTGTCTCAGGGATGGTGCTCAGAGTATGTTTTCTTATATTTCTCCTGTATCACAATCTTGGGAAGTACATTTTTATTATATATGTCTACAGATGCAAAGACAGGTTCACTAAAGGTTGCATAACTGTTGTGCAGCAGAGTGGAATTCTCATGGAGCTCAAAAGCCAGGGTTCTTTTCTCTATGTGTTGCTGTGTCTTGATATTACCCTCCTAGTTAGTGTATTCAAAAGTGGCAATTCAAGGTTTGACTTCCAAGCTAGTTGAAAAATCAGTTGGGTGCAGTGACTCATGCCTGTAATCCTTGCACTTTGGGAGGCTGAGGCAGGCAGATGGATCACCTAAGATCAGGAATTTGAGACCAGCCTGACCAACATGGTAAAACCTCATCTCTACTAAAAATACAAAAAATTAGCTGGGTGTGGTGGGGCATGCCTGTAATCCCAGCCACTCGGGAGGCTGAGGCATGAGAATCACTTGAACCTAAGAGGTGGAGGTTGCAGTGAGCAGAGATCTGGCCATTGAACTCCAGCCTGGGCGACAGAGTGAGACTGTCTCAAAAAAATAAAATAAAATAAAATAAAATAAAGTAAAATAAAGTAAAGATTCTACACCTGCAAACAATAGTTGAATTTAGGTTAACTCTAGAGGAGAGGAAAGCTCTGGGATGCATAACGTTTTAGTCTGAGAAAGAGGAAACCATGAGAACTGAAAGAGGGAACAGTGCTTAATGTGCTGGAGGGTAACTGTAGCATGGAGTTAAAGCCATAGGAGAAGCAGTTTTAGCTCTTACGGTTTGAGCTTCCCTTTAGTAAACAATCTGCCTTGAAATAAGTGAGCCTCCTGCCACTGCAAATATCTAAGCAGAACCCCGTTGACTATCTGAGAAGAATGTTTTGAAGAATTCTTGGGCGGAAGGTTATATTAAGTGACCTTGTAGGTCATTTCCACTCGAGTTATATTTCTAAGTGTGAAAGCATGTGTTCTAAATCAGATTCAACAGGTGGGGTCTATCTGCTGAGGTTAAGCCATATCAATTGGCACTACCAACACCTGGTGTTACGGACCAGAATGATGTAATGTTTCAGGTGAGATTGGCTTTCTGGTGCTTGCCCTAAATATAAGCATCTTCATTTGATTTGCATAGCAAAGGGAGATTCCCATGCTCTCTTTCTGAGACTGTATGTTTTCACAGGATTTGAGAATATTTTTAACAGTTACTTGCATGTCCTTCAGGACCAGGATAGCTATCCTCTTATAATTACTCTTAGACACTTCAAAGCACCTTCTTCTGTTTCCTGTAATTCTTTACCCAGCAGCATTTATAAACTTTTTTGCTGTCATTCGTGTGCTTTCACCTTCCAAAAATTCCCTTTCTCTCTCCCTCTTTCTTCATTTCTTTCTTTGTTCAAATCATTATTAATCACGAATTGACCTTTGACCAAAAGTGTTAGACTTAACAAAAGGGAGGTAGTTTTTAAAAACTGGTTGCAATAGTAACAAATACCATCCATGGTCAACACTCATTTATTTTCTGGCATCAACACTGTTCCACAAGTAATTGCTGATTAGGGAGTTGGCATTTATTCTCACCAAAATATCATAATTACAGTTGACATTTTTCCACTACTGATTTTTCTTTTGTCCTGGGTCGTATTTTTCCTTTTTTTTTTTTTTTTTTGAGACAGAGTCTCGCTTTGTCACCCAGGCTAGAAGTGCAGTGGTGTGATCTTGGCTCACTGCAAGCTCTGCCTCCTGGGTTCATGCCATTCTCCTGCCTCAGCCTCCCAAGTAGCTGGGACTACAGGCGCCTGCCACCATGCCCTGCTAATTTTTTCTTTTTTTTTTTTTTGTATTTTTAGTAGAGACGGGGGTTTCACTGTATTAGCCAGGATGGTCTCGATCTCCTGACGTGATCCGCCCACCTCAGCCTCCCAAAGTGCTGGGATTACAGGCGTGAGCCACCGCACCTGACCTTGTCTTTCCTTTATATAACTTGTGAGGTTATTTCTGTTTTGTGCCTTATAATAATTATTGTGATGGAAATTATTATTGTCCTTTTTCTTCCCACTCTGACAGGCTGTGTTTGATGTGGACAAGAAAAAAGGGCTGACTCTGATTGAGCTCTGGGAAGGCCTGACAGTAGATGACATACAGAAGAGTACCGGGTGTGATTTTGCAGTAAGTATTTCTGTGAATAAATCCAGCCACTTGTCTTATATTATAGGTTTGATTAATGGGTGTTTACAGGACATGAACCATTAATTTGTGATCATTTTTGGAGTTGACCTTTGCAGTGAACAAGAGTAGAAGGAAGGGTGCCTCTAGATGAGAGCAGGTAGGAACAGAGCTGTTCTCTGACTCATGGGCCAAGGTTTGACTTAGGACTCAGAAGCAGGAGGGGGACTCACCACCAGGAGCTGCTAGAAACAAGGTTGAGCTTGAGCTCTAAGTTACTTTATGTTTTGAAGGCCCTTGTGTTCCTCTGTTCTTTGGTTATATGGCAGCTGTGGTTGAACTTGATTAACTGAAAAATGTGAGCCACATATGGAGAAATGATACTTGCTTATTTTTAAACCCATCTATGACTTATGACTTTCTCTAAATTCTATGCCATATTTCATCTGTTGAAAATATTAAAATGTTGGGCCTCTGATATCACCAGGTTAATCATCACAAAACAGACATGCCCTATATTTGAAGATAAGTACATAAAACACTCAGACTTACAAAGCAGATAAATATGTCAGGGGAGTATCCATTTAAGAAACCTCCAAATCCCTTTTTAAAATAGAATATTACTGAAATATAAATAATTGCTCTTTAATATAAGTGCTTATTCATAAATCAGTCACCTAGCTAATGGCATTGAAAGCATGGCTCAGTCTATTTGAAGTTAACCAAAAGTAAAACTAAAATGTCTCTGAAGAAATGAAGGAAAGTGTATTAGTCCATTCTCACAGAGCTAATAAAGACAACCTAAGACTGGGTAGTTTATAGAGAAAAAGAGGTTTTATGGACTTATAGGTCCACATGGCTGGGGAGGCCTCACAATCATGGTGGAAGGTGAAGGAGGAGCAAAGGCACATCTTACGTGGCAGCAAGCAAAAGAGTGTGTGCAGGGAAACTGCCTTTTATAAAACCGTCAGATCAAAGACTTATTCACTATCACCAGAACAGCATTGGAAAAACCCACCACCTGATTCAATTACCTCCCACCAGGTCCCTCCCATGACACATGGGTATTATGGGAGCGCCAAATCAAAATGAGATTTGGGTGGGGACATGACCAAACCATATCAGAAAGGGATATTATTCTCATACCTATTTAAGAACCAACCTAATTAAAATGAAATATATTTATAATGAGAAGAAAATATGTTAATGTTACAGCTACACATCTTGGAGAAACTAATGTAACAAAAGTTATTTGATAAGTCATACATATATTTTATGTATGTCTTTCTTGTGTACTACATGCTTTGCTTGTACCTATCAGTGCATAACACATTTTTTTTTTTTTGAGACAGAGTCTTGCTCTCTTGCCCAGGCTGGAGTGCAGTGGCGCAATCTTGGCTCACTGCAAGCTTCACCTCCCGAGTTCATGCCATTCTCCTGCCTCAGCCTCCCCAGCACCTAGGACTACAGGTGCACGCCACCAAGCCCAGCTAATTTTTTGTGTTTTTAGTAGAGGTGGGGTTTCACTGTGGTCTCGATCTCCTGACCTTGTGATCCGCCCACCTTAGCCTCCCAAAGTGCTGGGATTACAGATTTGAGCCACCGCGCCCAGCCTACACATTTCTTTAAAAACAATTTGTGTTTCATAGTTCATTATCCATATAATAACTGTTTCTGGTACTCTACCAAGGTCTTTGTCTATTAAACTTTTTTGAATGTCCGTTTGGAAAAACAAGTCTCCCAGTAATATCTTGCATGCAAAGCACATCTTTAATTAGCTTTTCAGTAACCTCAAGGGGAGGGATATGCTTACACTTTAACTATTTAGGATTTCTTACTCCAGTGAGAAAAGCAAACAATCTGTAATCAGCTATTCTTTATTTTTTTTCTATGTGGAAGAATTAACCTTTTCATCAGATAACATTTTCAAGATCCACAGAATGTTCAGTTTTTTAGCAAAAGAGAATGTACAAAGGAAGACCCTGGTTATATAGTTCTTTTTTTATTCATATGGGTAAATAAGGAATGAAAATACGGGTTTTTACTGTTCTTGCTTTGTTTTTCCAATGAAAGGTGCTGTTCCAATGAAAAGTATCTCTGTAGACCCTCTCTATTTCAGTGCCATCTCTTCTTTTCACAGGGATATGTAATCTTGTTTTCTCCAAATTAGGATGTTGAGATGCAATGTTAATTTGTATGTCAGTGTTATCCTGAGAATGAAAAGGTATGGTATCAATGGAACCATCCAGAGGACTAGCTTTTGAGCATCTGACAGTCAATGGCATCTCTTTAGACTCTGACAGATGAAATCACATATAACAGGTTATTTCTCTGTAAAGCTAGAGCTGGAGTGCCCTAATTAATAAAACATTCTACTTAATACCTGGATTATCAATAAGGATACATTTAATTACAAAAGTACATTGAAGATAGTATTTCTTTTTTTGATAATTCAGAAGACATTCTATGTCCTAATTCAGAAAATATTCCCTGTGGTTATCACTGCATAGCTAGCATTGTACTCCATACATTACTATGTACTAGTTGCTAAAGTTCTGTTTGAGAAAAGTCCCTAGAACTCAGCCTTCAACTGGCAGTGAACATTCTAGAAGGGAATGATTGGCCAGTGTTGCCACATAAAGAAAAAAAGATAAAATCCTAGTGCAAAACAATTTTAAAATGTGTTGGTAAAAGTCCTGTATCCCTAAGGATATGGATAAGTGAATGGGCAAAACCTACATAATGTGGATATTAGCTGATTGCATATTAGCTGTGAATTCTTTGGAACTGGGAATTCCAAAGTAAAAGACTAAATGTGACAGCATCAGATAATAGGACGTGACAAAATTTTGGTTTTAGGATATCAAAAAAAGAATGATAATGAAGTGTTTGGGCACTGTTAAAAAAATAATTACTAAGACTTTTTCATATAAGTGTTATTAGCCATAATAAAAAAAATGGAAAAAATATGATTTCTATCACATGAAACAGCTTCTGTTTCTTTTTTTTATTATACTTTAAGTTCTAGGGTATATATGCACAAGGTGCAGGTTTGTTACATATATATATACATGTGCCATGTTGGTGTGCTGCATCCATTAACTTGTCATTTACATTAGGTATATCTCCTAATGCTGTCCTTCCCCTCTCCCCCCTCCCCACAATAGGCCCCAGTGTGTGATGTTCCCCTTCCTGTGTCCAAGTGATCTCATTGTTCAATTCCCACCAATGAGTGAGAACATACGGTGTTTGGTTTTCTGTTCTTGTGATGGTTTGCTGAGAATGATGGTTTCCAACTGCATCCATGTCCCTACAAAGGACACAAACTCATCCTTTTTTATGGCTGCATAGTATTCCATGGTGTATATGTGCCACATTTTCTTAATCCAGTCTGTCACTGATGGACATTTGGGTTGATTCCAAGTCTTTGCTATTGTGCATAGTGCTGCAATAAACATACATGTGCATGTGTCTTTATAGCAACATGATTTATAAGCCTTTGGGTATATACCCAGTAATGGGATGGCTGGGTCAAATGGTATTTCTAGTTCTAGATCCTTGAGGAATCGCTACACTGTTTTCCACAATGGTTGAACTAGTTTACAATCCCACCAACAGTGTAAAAGTGTTCCTATTTCTCCACATCCTCTCCAGCACCTGTTGTTTCCTGACTTTTTAATGATTGCCATTCTAACTGGTGTGAGATGGTATCTCATTGTGGTTTTGATTTGCATTTCTCTGATGGCGAACGATGATGAGCGCTTTTTCATGTGCCTGTTGGCTTCATAAATGTCTTATTTTAAGAAGTGTCTGTTCATATCCTTTGCCCACTTTTTGATGAGGTGGTTTTTTTCTCGTAAATTTGTTTGAGTTCTTTGTAGGTTCTGGATATTAGCCCTTTGTCACATGAGTAGATTGCAAAAATGTTCTCCCATTCTGTAGGTTGCCTGTTCACTCTGATGGTAGTTTCTTTTGCTGTGCAGAAGCTCTCTAGTTTAATTAGATCCCGTTTGTCAATTTTGGCATTTGTTGCCATTCTTTTTGGTGTTTTAGACATGAAGTCCTTGCCCATGCCTATGTCGTGAATGGTATTGCCTAAGTTTTCTTCTAGAGTTTTTATGGTTTTAGGTCTGACATTTAAGTCTCTAATCCATCTTGAATTAATTTTCATATAAGGAATAAGGAAAGGATCCAGTGTCAGCTTTCTACTTATAGCTAGCCAATTTTCCCGGTACCATTTATTAAATAGGGAATGCTTTCCCCATTTCTTGTTTTTCTCAGGTTTGTCAAAGATCAGATGGCTGTAGATGTATGGTATTATTTCTGAGGGCTCTGTTCTGTTCCATTGGTCTACATCTCTGTTTTGGACCAGTACCATGCTGTTTTGGTTACTGTGGCCTTGTGGTATAGTTTCAAGTCAGGTAGCGTGATGCCTCCAGCTTTGTTCTTTTGGCTTAGGATTGTCTTGGCAATGCGGGCTCTTTTTTGGTTCCATATGAACTTTAGAGCAATTTTTTTTCCAATTCTGTGAAGAAAGTCATTGGGAGCTTAATGGGGATGACATTGAATCTATAAATTACCTTGGGCAGTATGGCCATTTTCACAATATTGATTCTTCCTGTCCATGACCATGGTATGTTCTTCCATTTTTTTGTGTCCTCTTTTATTTCACTGAGCAGTGGTTTGTAGTTCTCCTTGAAGAGGTTCTTTACATCCCTTGTAAGTTGGATTCCTAGGTATTTTATTCTCTTTGAAGCAATTGGGAATGGGAGTTCATTCATGATTTGGCTCTCTGTTTGTCAGTAACTGGTGTATAAGAATGCTTGTGATTTTTGCACATTGATTTTGTATCCTGAGACTTTGCTGAAGTTGCTTATGAGCTTAAGGAGATTTTGGGCTGAGACGATGGGGTTTTCTAAATAAACAATCATATCATCTGCAAACAGGGACAATTTGACTTCTTCTTTTCCTAACTGAATACCCTTGATTTCTTTCTCTTGCCC